GGGTTTTTATATGGAGAACAGGAACCATGCAATATTTCATTTTGGACGCGTTATCATTTCACTCGACATTGACACCGTTGAGTTTATCGGCGCGAGTCAATAAATAAGTAGCACCGATTAGTACATCGTAATCGACACGATGTCCTCCACGGTGATATGGCGCCATCGACCGACTTTTAACGAAACCAGTCAATGATGACCGTTCTGGAAAAATACCGAACGGATATAGCCTCTACGCTGGATCCATACAACACACGATATTTGTTAACATCTGGAACAGGGTGAAGTCTCCTCAAGAAAATACGATCACGTGACGATTTCGAAATAGATTATTTCCGTTTGCTAGATATGGGTTCTGGAATTACAAGGAACCAACGAGAGAGTTAGGGATGTTCATTGTTCTTCCTTTTTTAGTTTAAGTGGGGGATTTCCCTCACGCATACGAGGACGCAAAGACGTTGTAACTCGCACCCCCCCTTTATTGCGTATATATAATTATAACTTATATATTTTTCCCCCATTATATGAATAAATCATATAACATCATTACGTGACCAGGATAAATTATTGATCTTTCTATAGGATCCTTCTAAAGGTAATAATTAGCCGTATAAATATTATTGTGATCGTCATGTTCGGTAGGACCTCATTTACGTTGTGTTTATTTAGTAACTTGATTCTTTTAGGTGTATCTTGGATAGATAAATATTCACTAGTCGTGGTATAAGCCAGAGATAATGTCAGATTGCTTTCTTATTAACTAACCCCGACTCGCTTGAGACGGGCTCAGAGTATATAGTATACTCCCTCTCACGCTTGTAAAGGGCTCACAATATAATTTCGAAATAATATCCCTTCTCTCTTGAAAAGGGCTCACATCAATTTTACATACCCGATACAAGTCTACGGCTCCCCCACATTTTAAAAAATGTAGGGAAGGCACACGGCCCCATGAAAACACTCACCAACGCCGTGTGCGGTGAGCGCCAACCAACATATTGCTCCCCCCCCCCCCCCCCCCCCCCCCCCGCCCCCCCCCCCCCCCCCCCAGAAGAGGGACAAAAAGTTGGGGAAAGGACCGAAGTCCATTGCAAAGCTGTTTTACCAGCATAAAGAGGGCTTGGCCCCTTGGCAGTGCGTAAGCACAAACTTTGACCGAAGTCGCGCATGTCAATGCGTGTAAACGTCATACAAGCCGACGACAAATCCAGTCTTCGTGAATGTACGTCAATACGGTTTTGGGCATGTGTTAAAGATCAGGCACTCTGGCCCGATGATATAATAAGCCCTCCGTAAGCGCCACCACTTTTGCCAGATCGCCGCGACTGCAGACGTGATTGTTAGTGTTTTGGCATCACCACCATTAAAAAGGTTAGCACGACATTTCGTCGCAGAGCGCGTAGCCCCAAGGGTATGGTTAAAACGTTGCACGGCATCGCCGCAGCCTTGAGAGGTTTTCTCCCGCCAGCTACCATCCACATGAGGTAAACGCATATGCTCCACCAACCATTGAAATAGTCAGATATAGCCATAGTTGTGATTTTTATGTTTAGCCATCAGAAGGGTTTATAACTGGCAACATATATTTATTTGTCAGTGTCTCTGACGTTGAGTATAATGTATTTTCGATCAAGTTTGTCTCACCCACCAGCAAGTTGCCATTATTCGTTCGAACGGTGGGAACTTTACTGAGATTCGTTAATAATGATAAAACGTATAAAGAGGTCAGACAGTCTGCAGTTCCGTCATCAGGAACCCGACTTGGACAAATCTACTGAGATGTGCATCAAACCGAGACGCAGACTCGGCCATTATGAATAGCGTCGTCTCCCAAGCAAATGTCGCAAGACGCAATGTCACCAAATGCAACATGCATCAATACAACTATCGCAGGTCAACACGCCAACATACAGCCTATCCGCATACACAGCAGACATCATCACCTCGAACCTCCGTCAACCAGAATCATACGATGCAATGATATTAGGCGCAGATCACCCCGCAAATACCACAAGACGCAATACTGCATATAGCCGCATGCATCAATGTGACTATCGCGTAGGTGGCACACCCTCACACCACACCAATACAACTCCAATCAACTTCAGCTCCAAAGTTTAGAATACACTCGGAACACACGAAGTGTCCAAACATACTCTTTCACGATCCGAATGATAGTCGACGTATCATAGCGTAAACACTAAGACGCCAACCACCAACGGACCCCCACCCAAGCCAAGTAATAGCCAACGTATCATAGTGGAATACACTAAGACGCAAGCCACCACCAGACTCCCCAAAGTCAGATGATCAGTCGACGTATCATAGTGCAACACACTAAGACGCCAACTACCACCAAACTCTTACTATGCCGAATGACAGCCAACGTATCATAGTGATGGTCACTAAGACGCCAACTACCACCAGCTATCGATGATATGTCCACCACTGAAGACATATCCATTCATGGTTCCACGTTTACCGTAGACCATATATCGTCGTACAGAAGTACCACGCAACTCCATAGTAATATGTCTTATAAAGTCCCAAGTCATTCATTGCTCTTCATTATATTTATATATTCATTATTTTTTCTCTGAGCCTTCACATATTATTACTTTTATCCATTAGACCTTACTTCCATATGATATTGGTATGGGACGTTCATACAATGTACTTTGACTATAGTACTAAGAGTCGCGATCGACCTCTGTACATTATGTATGTACAGAGGTCGACGTACATTATGTCTGTATACTTATGTGCGGTCATACAAATGTGTCCCCGCACGGTACATAATACTTCCCTTAGAAATCACTAAGTATGGAATTGTATTTAATGGACATAATAGTGATCGTATCTTGCTATATTTTTAATAAATATCCCTTTTTGAGTATTTTAAGTGATTTTTAACTATTTTTAATCAATTTTTGGTAATATCATTTTCTCATACTAACACTTATATTTCTTTAATTTAAGTATATATTATTAACTTTTATTGTGATTAAACGTTCTTAAACGTTTTATTTTCATCTTAATTGATCTTTATTATGACTAATTAATAATAATATTTATTATTATTACGACCTATTAATAATAATATTTATTATTATTAATAGGTCGTTACAACGTGTTAATTCGAAATCGCACAACCTAGAGCGCATATCACGGAAACGCTTTCGCTTACTTCCTCTGCAGCCCCTCCTCGGGGAGCAACCCCCCTCACCTCCAGGGAAGGCCCGCTGCAACGTTGCTCATTGGTACCTTACGGACCTATGTAAATATAATTTCTTATGTAAAATTTGACGATCCACAAGAACGCGCAAGCGTCTATTTGAATAAAGATATTTGATTGATTGATTGCTGGCACAGCGCGGCTTGCAACTCGGCCGCTTTTATTCTTTCTCCTAATACAACCTCGAGTGTGACTAATTACCATTTACGCCTATAATCCACCGCCGAGTATCAATAACAAAGTGACGTGTTAAGTAGTAAAGAATGACTACGAACACTTTAAAAATAGTATATAACACAACCGATTGACCACAAGGGATTCCAAAAATGTTGTGTAGTATATTGTAATTAAGGCACGCTCCGTCCAAACCTGATAGCCGCGACGTCGGGCCCGTAAGACGGTGGCGCCGCGGAAGGTAACCCTCCATTATTCAATTGCGGCGCGATTGCCCCATTACGAGCCGAGACCGGTGATTAACTGTGGCCCCAACTTACGCCCTGCAATATCCATTACTTAAACCGCCATAAAAACGACCATGCGCGTGCGCACCGTATACATTGATTACTAAGTAAGCGTTATTCAATTGTAATATCATGAATAGCAGGCAATGACTTATCGTTGAAACTATTTCTTTCGATATTTGTTCTTTTATAACGTGCCATCACACTTATCACATTTTTATTTCCATGCGATTTATTCAATCATAAAGGCAATCATAAAGGGATGGTTCGTCGCTTTTTCGTAACAAAATGTACGATTTTAAGTTATTGCAAAACTTTACGCTTCATTTGGTTTTGTTACTAAAAACATTAAATAGTACATTGTACCGCTGTGTTATTTTAAAAATATTCAGAAATGGATATAGAATATGATTATCGTATTATTATTAATTTTTAAATGACTTTTCAACCAGGTACAGGTTTCCATGCGCAGATTTGACATCTATGTAAAAATATATTAGTCACAGACGCACCCTTCTGTCGTGTTCAGCAGATAATGTATGCAGATCTGTGCGCAAGATCCTAGATGCTATGTGTGCTGTATGTTGCATTTAAAAAACTGGAAACTAAAAAGCTTAACCCTAGCCTTAAAGCCTTAAAAGCAAACTTGAGTATGGCACAGTCATCTGAAACTACCGGAATTACAGCTACCAAGTATAAGTTCGAAAAGAAGGTATCCAAAAAATATATATTCTGGACCCAACATGGGTACATGTTTTTATTTCATTTGCGTTTTGTTCTTCTACCTTAGTTTTTATTACCTAGATAGAACTGAGTTATAATAATGACAAATACTAATGCTACCTGTAATTGAGGTTTTGTGTAGCTTGTTGCCTAGCATTGTATTCAATTAATTTTGTGTACATGTAATTTTGTTTGTTAGTCCAAATTACATGTATAAATGAATATATAGCTACGAATCAGAATATTTATCTCCCTCAGATTAACTTTTCAGCTTATATTAGATACATAATCAACGACGTATATGACGACCCGAATGGCGTAGTGTGTAGTGTACCTGCCTCCTGCGCCAGAGGGTGTGGGTTCGATCCCCACTACTGGAAAAATATTGTGTGATTAACATAGTGTTTTTTCAGTGTCTGGGTGTTTATATATGTATGGTACGTATTTATTTACAAAATAAAAGTATGTTTAAGTAGGTTTGTCAGTCATCTAGTACCCATAGTACAAGCGTCGCTTAGTTTGGGACGAGAGAACGTTGTGTAAAAATATGTCCTTAAATATTTATTATTATTTTTAAAAACATGATTGAAGTGAAAGTTATTCGCGGCAAATGCGTTAAGGCGTTAAGGAGAGGACGTGAATTCGGCTCTACGGCGCGGCAGAGGCGGCCCAGTTGGCCGAGCGAGCTGAGGGACGTGGTTGGTACCCGCTCTCGTTGCAACTCCATTATTAACGGCGATAATACGGCGATCGGTGAGCAGCGGGTCGCGCCGGATTCGAACGCGGGCCGCGACAGCTTTCACTGCCCCTCACATAGGCCACGCGAAGCAGAGGTCCCATTCTAAAGAGGTTCATTACGAACCTTAAATAAGATCGCCTCAGGCTGTATTATCTCACCTGTCTTTTTCCTATTTCACTTGCGAATTGTGTTACATTGTCTTAAACCTTGCAGATTTGTAAGATTTCATTATCGTTTGTATGAATTTATATTCTTATATATTGATTTCTTGTTTTTACGCTTTATGAACTTCCGTGCTGCTTATCTTTATATACTTAATAGATACTAGGTTAATTAATCCCATGGAATTTCATAACCCACTTTTTATTTAGTAAATAGATATGTACAATGCAAACTATATAAGCATTATATATTTCATATTGTAGATACATAACATAAACCATTAAATTTGTCTATACATCATCGTTTCACTTCAAAAATTGATTTTATGAGTTATAATGTGTAACTGTATGATTATATCATTCTATATTCATTTTGTAGAATTGGTTTTAAAGGAGGAAAAATTTCATAACTTTTTCTTTTAAAGTCGACTTACGGCTAGGTAACAAGCCCTATATCTTATACAGTGTAACATGAAATTACGGACGCAAAGTACACCCAGAAATTTCATATTTAGAACTCATCAGCGGTCAAGGAATTCGCTAAATGGCCACATAAAGTACTGTGCCATTTTGTACTCAAGACACGAAGGGAAATGGTGACGCTGCGTACGTACACTGTGCACACATCCCCGTCTGCGGCAACAGGACACGTTACAGTTACGGAGGCGGAACAGACCGGATTCTGCAACATATTATACGGAGCACCCTCACTGCGTCGCCAACAGAGATGCTTCGTTAAGGCACGCAAAATAGATAGCGTTCAGTCATACATTCTCAAGGATCCGGCTGGTGATTATTCAATACATTGTACACACATATTATTATCTTACCAGTTACAAGAGATCAGGATACTTGTAAAATTTGCCAAAAAGTTTAGGAAGTAAGGTGTATCAGGGATATATCATAAAGCGTATTTATGTGTATTACGTGTGTATGTTTATAATTGACATAATAGAAATTAATTAGATAAGAAATAGGTATCGATTCTTTCTCCAAATATGTCTCCTCCTGGGTATGTCCTCCATATGGCCCGAAGAGTAATTCTATTGCCGATTGTATACACCCTTAAGTATTATTTGAAATTATTTCTTAAATGTGCTGATTTCTGTGGTTTTCCATGGACCGCTCAGAACATGACACATTACTATGGGAACCTACATTCGTGCCCCCCTTTACCAATAGATTAATTCAAATACTTTTTGTGAATTTTTTGTACAAAATTGAAAACAAAATATTTGACTCTCCGTTTAAACTATTTTTATTTTTACTTATTTTTAATTAGTATTATTTGAGAATTTTCATTAGCTACTTAATGTATTTTATTATCAACTAGCGACCCGCCCCGGCTTCGCACGGGTATTTAACAAAATTTTTAAAACATAGCAATTAACATATTCACTCATAATGTATAATATACAGTTTGTCTTATGTAATACATATGTGGCGTTAGTAATAAATTAAAACACACTATGGTTTTACCTTTGTAATTAGTATGAGCATCCGAAAAAATTATTGATTAAAAAACTTATAACGTGAACCTTGTTTCTTTAAATTAACCTAACGGACCCAAATTACAACCGCTTTGAATTTGTACATGGTCCTTCGTTGCTGAATAGTCAGCCAGTGAGTAGAAGGCTGACATTCGACTCGCGCGCGAGTGTTGTGAGTGAAGTTTTTTGGAAAACCGAACTTGCGGACGTTGGATCGACGTCGCAACCGCAATTTCCAGGAGCCGATCGAGGCTTCGAAGAGCATCATCGGTCAGCTTCAGATTATGTATTCGGTGGAAGGCGCAGTCAGGTCACGGTGGGCGGTGCCTGCCTTTGGAGAAGAGGAATTCAACACAGTGTCGTGCTCTGAAGTATTAGAGCTACCACTGTCATTACCTCAGTGCAGACGGAGCCGGGTGTCAGCGAGTTATCAGGTCAGGTCGACCTGGTGTTCATAAAAAGGTGTAGTGTAGTGAGTGAGTAACAGTGACAATTCAAGAACAATCGTGAGTACTTTGAACAATATCTAGTTTTTAAAACTTTTGGACGTTTGACTTTGATTGCAAAAATGGACCCTCTCATTAATTTTCAAAATGATTTAACTTCACGTATTTCCAAGGCTAGAGTTAATTTTAAAAAATCGCCTAAGGAGCGTTTGACAAAAGAATATGTAGAAAGTAGAGTTGAAGTAATAGAATAATTGTGGTTTGAATTTTTGTCTGGTCACAAAGACTTAATGCGTAAATACCAACCCAAAGAATTAAACAGTTCAAGTTATATCGCAAACGAAGTATATGATAAAACCGAAGATGTGTACCATAGAGTATAAAAGCGAATTAAAATCGTAATTGAATAAATTAAATAGTTTGAATATTAGCGTAAATACCAATGCAAATACAAATAGTAATATTTCAACTATTACCAGTCATGTTAAATATCCAAAAATTATTATTCCTAACTTTTCTGGAAATTACGCAGAATGGACTACGTTTAAGCAGATGTTTACGTCTTTAATAATTAATAACGAGATATTTGATGACATACAGAAGTTGCACTTTTTAAAGGGTCATTTAGTGGGGGACGCTGAACAGCTGCTCAGACATGTTCCAATTGAAAATGGTAATTTTGATCGTTGCTGGCAATTATTACAGGAACGATATAACAACAAAAAGTTTATTTGTCACCAGACATTGAAGAGGCTTTTAAGTCAGAAAAATTTAAACGTAGAATCAGCTGATGGCTTAAGAGATCTTGTGGACACAACAAACACATGTCTAGCTACTCTTCAAAGTTTGGGGATTAATACAGAGTCTTGGGATGTGTTACTAATTCACATATTGACTCTAAAATTAGACCCAGAAACAAAACGACAATGGGAATTTCATGTAACTAATAATATTTCCGCAAATGATCTCCCCACCTATGACCAGTTTACAAGTTTTTTGTCAAAAACATTCCGTGCAGTAGTGTCTTGATTCTAAGTCAATGTTAACAAAACCTCAAAACACTCATAATAAACTTAAAAGTATGCATGTTGCGAACATTAACTTATCTTGCGCATATTGTTCTAATAGTCACAAATTGTATCAGTGTAAGGATTTTCATAAATCTACAGTAGACATTCGTCGTAAATTTATTAAGGAAATTTTTAGGAAAAAAATATTTGTTTTATCTGTTTGGGTAATAATCATTCCGCTAAAGACTGCCGTAGTAATCTTAAATGTCGATTTTGTAAGCGAAAACATCACGCACTTCTGCATCCTAACGATAATATCACCGAGAGTGAAGGAAATAATAAGTCGGATGAGTGTATTGCTACATCATCAAAGGGTCCCAACACGTCAAATAATTCAACACCAGTGGTGTCTTGTCTCTCGACAGGCAAATTATACCAACAGGTCTTATTGGCAACAGCGGTCGTAAAGGCTACATCGAAAAATGGGCAAGATTACAAAATAAGAGCGTTGATTGATCAAGGTTCACAATCTTCGTTCATAACCGAATCTACTGTTCAATATTTAGGCCTCCGTAAAAGGTCTGCCACTAACCGAATAACCGGGTTAGGTGGAGGAAAGAATGTATTGTCGAAATCAACAGTAGATATTGCCATCAAATCAATGAATGATCCTTATGTAACAATTTTAGTAAGTGCACACGTCATATAGTGTATAACGTCTCCACTGCCTAACACTAAGGTGGAAGCTTTGGAATGGGTGGATTTATCGGGATTGACTCTAGCCGATCCCGAATATCACACACCTAACAAAATTGACGTTCTGTTAGGAGCGGAAGTATTCAGTCAAATACTCCAAAGCGGAATAAAAAGAGGACCGCTTGGCACCGTAATAGCTCAAGCTACAAGTTTAGGCTGGATCTTATCAGGTTCAGTAAATTCTCATGCCAGGCACAACATGAACATAACTGCAATGCATTGTTGTTGCACCAACTATCTCAAGAAGTTTTGGGAGCTCGAATCAGATGTTAAGCTACCTAAGCAAAGGTTGCTTACAGATGAAGAAAAGTACTGCGAAGAACATTTTAGTCTAACAACACAGAGAGATGATAATGGCCGATATATCGTATGTTTACCATTCAAAACCAGCAACCCCCAAGTCATATCTTCTCAAGAAATTGCTGAAAAACGCTTAAAATCGTTAGAATAAAAATTAAAAAGGGATCAAATATTAAAGGTCAGATATCAAGAGGTAATAAATGAGTACATAAATTTAAAACATATGGAGATTATACCTGAAGCAGAAATCAACAATCCAAAATGAGTGTACTTGCCTCATCACGCTGTAGTGCGGAATGATAAGGAAACTACAAAGGTTCGTATAGTATTTGATGCGTCCTGCAAGGGAAAAAACAACATATCTTTAAACGATCAATTGGCAGTAGGTCCTACATTGCAACCTGAACTCAGACATATTGTGATGCGTTGGAGATCAGCACCTATTTGCTTGTCAGCTGACATCGTAAAGATGTATCGGCAGGTGATGACTAACAGACAAGATAATGATTTCCAAAGAATCCTGTGGAGAAATAACGCAGACTCGAAAATAAAACATTATCGACTTACTAATGATGCTTCAACAACATTGGAAGCAGTAAAATCACATTGTGCAATAATGACGGTGGATAATAATCCATGGCATAAATATTCATCGTTAAAAAAATTAATTAAAATTATAGCGTACTGTAAAAGATTTATAAATAATTGTAAAAAGAAAAATAAAATTAATACAAAATATCTTACATCTAAAGAATTAATGGAAGCACTAAATGTTGTATAATCAAATATCAAACAATTCATTTCATGCAAGAACTTAATTATATATCACAGAGAAGAGACTTACCAAAAAATAACAAACTTCATCCTCTGAATCCACTCCTCGACGACGAACAAATATTGCGAGTTGGTAGCAGGTTAGATAAAGCAGAGTTAAGCTACA